GTCGTCGTCGTCGTCGTCGTCGTCGTCGTCGTCGTCGTCGTCGTCGTCGTCGTGCCCGCGAAGGAGGACGGAAGAGGGGAAGGAGGCGGCGCGGCCCTGCCCGCCCCGCTCTCGCGGCCGCCTTTTGTGTGAACCGCCCCCCTTCCCTACGCGGGAAAGCGGTCGCCGCGAGGAGTGCGTGGCCGCGCTATCCGCGGAACCGACGGCCGGCTGGAGGGCGGCCCTGCCTCACGGCACGGTGCGCTGCCGCAGCGCGGCCGAAGATGCGCCGGGAGGAGCGAGCGGCTGCCTAGGCGGGCACCGCCTGCGTCGGGCGGCGGGTACGGTACCGGCGGCGGGGAGGGAAGGAGGGCGGCGGGGCGGGAGCCCGGCCCTCTCAGCATCCTGGGGTCCGCGCGGGGCCGCGTTCGGCGGATCGCGGCGTGAGGGAGGCCGGGAAGCGCCTGGAGGCGTCCCGAGCGGGCGGAGCCGAGGCGGGGAGAGCCGCGTGGCTCTCGGTACTTCGCGTTCGTGTAGAAAGCGGTGGGTGCGCTCGGCTCGGTGCTGCTGCAGGGGGACCGGCAGGGTACGGCTAGGGCTGCGGCGCCGGGACCTGCCGGCCTGGAGCCTCGCTGAGGTGCTTGCAGCCAGTGCTTGCAGCGTGCACGGGTGTGCCGAGCGCCTTGTTACGCCGCTACGGTGCTCTCACAGCTCTGGCTTTGTAACCGTTTTTTTCCTGATCTGGCCTCCCGCTGAAGAGCTGGAAATAGGTGTGTTGAGGTTTCTAATAAGTTAGCTGTTCTGATATTCGCGTTGCAAGGTAAACTACTGCTTCCTTCTAGAAGGAGAGAGTATATTTTATAGGCTTTCTCCTTTAAAGTAACTTAATTTTGTTCAAGTGTGTGCATGCCTGCATTTATAAAGGTAATGTTAAGTGGAAGGCAGATGCTTCGTCATGTGGGGTGAGACCTTAATGTCTCTGTTAAAGCAAGCATTGCAGTAAGCATTCATAGAATCATTAAGGTTGGAAGAAAACACTTAAGATAATGTAGTCCAACCATTAGCCCACTCCCACCATGCCCACTGACCATGACCCTCGGCGCCACATCCACACGGTTCCTGAACACCTCCATGGATGTTGACCCCACCACCTCCCTAGCAGCCTCACCCACTCTTTCTGAGAAGAAATTCTCCCTAATATCCAACCTGAACCTCCCCTGTCACAGCTTGAGGCCATCACCTCTTTTCCTATCTCTGTTACCTGAGAAAAGAGGCTGACTCCTACCTCATTTCAGGCAGTAGAGTGAGGTAAGGTCTCTCCTGGGCCTGCTGTTCTCCAGAATGTGTTCCAGAGCCCTCACAGCTTTGTTGCTCTTCTCTGGACACGCTCCAGGGCCTCACTGTCTTTCTTGCTCAAAACTGAACATACCACTTGAGATTTTTAAAAATCTTTTCAGTCGACAAATACTAGTGCAAAAACTTCAGATGGCCTTACATAGAGCTGTAATGTGGATATGAAGCAATGTAATGCAGCACAGATCTACCAAATCTGAAGTCCATTGAAAAATCAGCTATGAAATTTTATTTCCTAGAGTGAGTGGTGATCATGTCCGCTGTATTCTAGGTTTAGTCACGAGTGTATACTTTTTTTTCCAATAAAATTAATCTTGAAATGTTGAACATTATGTTCACGGTGTTCAAATATTGGTAATGTCCAAAAGCCAGTTACCCGCAGAGTAGCTTGAGAGATTCTGTTATATTGAAAAATAATCAGGTTTATAGGCCTGACAGCACAAACCTTTAAAGCTGGATGTAAGTGCTGCATGCAGTGAGATTGGGAAGCAATCAGATTTCCAGCTGCCTAGATGATCTTTTGTTATTAGAAAGCTGTGAAATGTTAAACATCGTAACCACTTTCTACTTATCCCATCCTTCTCCTTTTTAAATAGTCGTAGTCTCCACGACCACTTCTAGGGCTCATCGGACTGTGGATTCATGGTCTTAAATAATGGAAATCAGAGCGTGATTTGTGTGTGGTGTTGAGTACTGTGGCACTGAATTTGGATGTATTTAAGTGGCCGGAGAAGCACGATAAGGAACCAGTGGTGCAACGTGTTTTCTTTGATCTGGCTGAACTAAGCATGCTCTTATCTGTACAGATGTATTGAAGGCCAGGCAGAAACCAAAGTGTTGGTTTTAATTTGTTCTGCTTGTTACATGTTTGGTCCAGTATGAGTGTGATCTAAGTAGAGCTGTCCCTACCACCTTATTTTTTATGCCTTATTAAATGTGACTTAGCTTTTCAGCATCTTTTCACTCCCCGTGCTTTTTTAGCTTTCTGTTGTTTTTTTTTCTCCTTTTCTTTTAATTGTTAATCTTTAATGCCTGCACTTTAGAGAGTGTAATGGAAGTTTGCCTGGGCCTGTGTGCTGTGTTATCAGCAAAGGCCTGATGAGATCCATGATTTTACCTGTGCAGACGAGTATGCTGGTTGTGATCAAGTTGCTAAGCAATGTACAGATGAAATAAGACATTCCACTGAGCTCTTTAGCCTTGACAGGTGTCCAGTGTGTAAAAAAACTGCTTCACTGGCAGGACCTCTTCTAAAAGAAACAAAAAAAACAAAAACCCACAACTCCTACATATTCTGATAAAGCAGTAGAAGATGAAGATGTTCAAGTGATCTTTTTCCGTAAAGCTGTTCTCAAAGTGAAGACAGCCAAATTGAAGATAAGGGGTTTTAGGTCTGTTTAGCCTAGCGTCTGGTCTGCAGTAGTTTATGCAGAGGAAATATGTAAAAACTGTAGCTTTCACCAGCAGTTTGCTGCTCTGTGGTGGAAAATGTGTTTAATCACATTGAAATTCTGAATGTCTTTTTGCAGAGAATCAGGATGACTAAAAAAAGGAAACATCAAGAAGACTTCCAGAAAGTGAAATTAAAAGTTGGGAAAAAAAAGCCTAAACTAGAAAATGCAACAGATACCACTTTCAAAACAAAGGCCATACAAATTCCTGAACAGCTTAAAGAAGATGGAATGCTTACTACACAGAACAGAAAACTTAACATAAAGGTACGTGGTGGGTGATACATTCTGAATGACAGATAATGACATTTGCCTGAGTCCTTATAGTTACTCGTGTCTAAGAAAAAAAAGGTGTATTTAAAAAAAACAATGAGACACAAAACTAAGCTGACCCTTGAACTAAATGACTTAAATTGCTGGACCTGCATATAACTCAAGGCTAGGCTTTTCAGCAATGGAAAGCTGAAGTTGCATCATCCTCTGAGTATCAGGGATTAATGCTGTTTTTGAGTCTGAGATTATAAAATAAGAGCAGGGTTTCAAAACCTCTGCTAAGTTAGTAGGGTTGTATGTTTACTTATGTATGAAAGTTATCTTGTTACCTGAA